TGGCATCATGGAAACCCAAAGGGGAGAGTGCTTTGAAAAGGGGAGGAGTCAACCTTATTAAATGTTCCTGAGATGTCAAGGGGGATGAGGACGAAGGGACGATTGGGAAGGAACATGGAGATCGTTGGTAACTTTCAAGAGTGCAGTTTGTGGGGAGGGTTGGAGGCAGGTGCCAAGTAGGGTCGCATTCTTGTTGTTGGGGTCACTGGGCTTTGTCATGATATCTGGGAGACCCATGAAACCTTTGGGCTTCGGAAAGTGGTGAGGTGAGTAGGGTCTGTGTGGCTGATCGAGAGGACCTGATGCTATAAAAAAATCAGGCAGTTGGTGTGTTTTGTGTCTCCTTCATCTGATTGCTATTTGCAAAGATAAGCTTCCTCGAGCCTGGAAAGATGGTATAGGAGCTCAAGAATCATTTGAAACATCCTTCTTCAGGCTCTGATAACTAACCTGTTCCCCTTCCCTCCCCCCACCCCCCCACCTGCTCCCCTACAGGACACTTCACGGCCATGGTGTGGAAGAACACAAAGAAGATGGGAGTGGGGAAGGCATCTGCAAGTGATGGGTCCTCCTTTGTGGTGGCCAGATACTTCCCAGCAGGGAATGTTGTTAACCAGGGCTTCTTTGAAGAAAATGTGCTGCCTCCAAAGAAATAACTTGTCAAACATAATGGGAAGGTGGCAGACTTAAGAACGTGGTATGAAGTACCTAGAAGAACATTAGCTGTGTGTTTGTCCTTGTGGGTGTACATGCTTGTGTGTGATGCATGTGTGCATCTCTTGCACACATACTCGGATATACAGTTCTGTATGAACTCATTCTTGTCAAAAGAATGAGCATATGAAGGCTTTACTCTGATAGTTACCTAGACCACAATTATTTGGACTTTGGGGGCAAAATCAATTTTTAAACTTTTTTTTTCATTTTTTTAAGCAAACTACTTTTGTACGTTTCTTACTTTTAATATCCATCCCTGGACTTTTTATATTCCTCATGTTTGTGATACTGAGAACTGAAGTTCATTTTTTGTGATCTTCATACATTGTAATCTACTTGTGGTAGATATTTAAAAATATTAAACCTTCATTTAAATGTGACATAAAATGCAGCTTTAAACACATAAATATAAAGCAGCTTCCATGAGAAAACTGGTGTAGGCAGGAGTTCCATCTCACAGAATTACTGAGATTTCTCAGTTGTAAGACATGATGTCATCTGCATGCCTCCTGGAATTCTCTAATGGGATTGCCAAAGAACAAATGGAGAAGAAAACTTTACTTCTTTGCATTTTTCTACCTTTAAATAGCAAAGTACCACTACCACAACTACCCCTTGCCCCCTCCCCCATCTTTTTTCTTAAAATTCTCTGGCATTTCAGGGCTCAATATGTTTCCTGATTTCTGGAGAACTGGGCAAGGCCTGAAATTCACCCCTCCCCCACCTCTGCTGGGCGGCCCAGGACCCGTTCTGGGAGAGAGCCCCTCATACTGCCTGGGCTCTCAGCCAAGCGGCCTTGGATGGATGAAGTCAGTGAGTGTGGGGGAGAGGGTGAGCTCACTCAGGGCCCCCAGAGGAAGCTCTCCAGCCTCTGCCCTCCCCCTGACACACAGGGCGGGAGCCCGGGCTATTCGTGGCAGCTGTGGCTGCAGCTGTGCTGCTGTACCCTCCCAGAATGTGTGACAGGCCCAAATGTTCCTGGGAGATATCCCATGCGGGGCTTAGAGTCGCTAATTTGGTTCTGTGTTTTGCCTCAAACTGCACAAAGCTCCCCTAAACAACAATTTCGTATGGTGGGGGAGGGACCAATCCAGAGGCCAAGCTGAGTGTCCCTGAAACCATGGCATCTCCAGGTGGTAAGATAGCAGGAGCAGGAGTTAGGGAGTTACCTGCTTAAAGACTGGAGTCTGAGCAGGCCAGTCTGATACATGCTTCCCGAAGGTCTGTGTTGCACTGTGAACACAGTCTCATGCTGTGCCCTTCATTTCACCCAGAGATATTGACTAAGACAACAATAAAATCTTTTGTGTAATATTTTCTTCCTCTGTGATTCATACCCGATTCTTTATCGGTGACTAAGGTAACCCATAACTCTGAGTTCCTGTCTAAGCTTCTGAATGCCTCCAACTTTTTCCCCTGTAGACTGTGTTCTTTGGGTAGCCATGTTTTGAACCATGTGACCTATCACCACATAGTTGATTGGACTAGAGTGGATATGGACCAAGAATTTGAGCTAAGAATGGAGAGATAAACTAAAACTAAATTTTTTAGTTTACCAGGGAAACTAAAAAATTAAGGATGCCATGACTTTGAATTAGGGCCAGGGCAAGCCAAAGCTATGCTACCCAAGTTACCCAAGTTGGAAATACTGTATATAGAAATGAGAATGCCAGTTGTTAGGAGTACAAAAGAGGTGGAGATACTGAAAGACAGTTCCTGAATTTTCCAGTTCCAGGCAAGATCTGTGTATCTTTAAAACATGCACCTCATTTTTTTCAAGGCTTCCCAACAAACTGATATTACCTGATGGTCCCCAGAAGGTTAGAATATTAGGTCCCCTCCCCTAGGGAGTCTCCATGAACAGAAAATGCTGAGCTAGGCAGGACACTGAGGATACGTGAGGGACTTGGGCCGAGGCCTTTTTCTGGCCACATCTGGGCAGCCACTCTGAGCAACGGGGACTCAATGACCAGTCAATGAACTTCCTGGTGGCTACGAGGGACACCCTCCACCCAATACACACACATACATAACCAGGTGGTGGACGTTGGCATGTAGCCAGCCTCTTTAGGCTGGAGTCTGTTTCCTCAGTTGGCTGGAGTAAGGAAAACACTGACCAGGGGAGCTTTCCAGGCTGAAGAAAAGCCAGACAACAAAACTGGCTGAGCAAGTGGGCACTAATCTCGCTTCTTTAATGGATTTCTTAAGGATGGCAACTTTCATGAGTTCAGCAAAAGCAGAAGACAAGCCAGATTCCAGCTCTCCTTTGTAGCGAGAGGGCAGAGGAAGGAGTCAGGAGCTCTGGCTCCAAGTCTTAGCTTTGTGCTCTCCGAGTTGAACCAGCCCCTTATCCTCTCTGAATGTCAATTTGTCCAACTGTATAAGGTCTGGCACATGGAATTAGGTCTACTGGATCATCTCAGGTCTCTACGACACCCCCTAACTCCTTAACCAGATGGAAGCACCCAATAAGAGATCTTCCTGCCCTGGTGTTCTGGGGCCCAAAACAAAAGCAAAGGGGCATGGCCACCTCCTCCACCAACATGCCCCCAAGGCTGAAGGGTGTGGGGGCAAAGGAGCAGGTGAAGTAGCAGGACCTCACCTACCCGACCCCTACTCCTGGACAGGGATGCCCTGGGAGGTGAGGTCTGCCAACCTCTCATAAGGGCAGGCCTGGAGGCCAATGGGAGAGAGGTGTTTGGCATCAACACTAAGAGGCCTCATCCTCCGCTCAAGTTGCGGCTGCCTCTAGAGAGATCAAGGCAGGAGAATCAGAGCTCAATTATTCTCATAGGCAGAGAAAGGAGCCAGGAGGAACTCATCTAAGGCACACAACTAGTCCGTGGTGGAGAGGCTGCAATCTAAGCCTTCTTCCCATAGGGAAAACAGAAGTTCTTAGCCTTCAGCCTTGTGGCGACAGGTATCTCAAGAGACTGAGTGCCTCTATCCTGTTCAGGCATCAAGGTGAACAAATTCAATATTAAAAGGTAGGTACTTTTAAATAATTTTCAAATAATCAAAGAAAAAGCCAAGTCTGGGATGAAAGGATGAGAGAAAAACAGTGAATGGTAATGAGAACTCACTAAGCCAAGGAAGAAGAGAGCTGGTGGGCTCACATTTCCAAGGCTCCGGGTGACACTTTATCCTAGTAGGAGCCTGAAGGACCGGCTGAGAGTCAGGAGTGGGGCTTAAGACCCAGGATGGAAGAGACTGGGTCGGGGGAGCCCGAGCCTAGGTTCTTTCTGCACCATCTCGCAATGCTGTTGGGGCCTGCATGACGATACCCTTCCTGGACGTCTCCAAAGGCTCTGGGTGGGGCCCCGCAGGAGCCAGCCCCCTCCATGGTCGGGGAGGGTGGAGGAGGGTGCTCCAGCTGGCCCTTATCCTTTCTCGGCACAGACGCTACGGGAACTGCGGGAGCCCCACACCAGCCGAGAGACTGGGGTGCCGAGCTAGCGGAGTCTGCGAGCTCCCTGCGGGGCGCGGCCCCGAGGGGTGGATCTGAGAAGGCTCCTGCCCGGCCGCCCGGTCCTGCACACTCCATCTGGGGCTCATTACCCAAGTGGATACTGGTGTGTTTGAGGTGATCGTAGCGGGTAGACCTGCGCTGCCGCCTTTGCCTGGGGAAACGCGGTTGTGTGGCAGGCCAGCGGAAAAGGGAAAACCCTGCGGCTCCCCGCACCCAGGAGAGGGGTGCGGCGCAGCGAGGGCGGGGGCGGAGGCGGCGCGCCGGGTCCGCTGGCTGGCTCCCTGGCAGGAGGTAACCCTTCAGCCCCACCGCGTGGCCGGAGGAGGCGCAGGGATCCTGCCCAGAGGGGACCGGGGGATTCCAGACTTCCCAAAAACCACGCCGACAAGTACTTATGAAAGGAGCATCCAGAAATGCCAGCTCTTGGCGAACTAATGTAATAGTAATAAAGTAACGTCAGCTAGCATTTATTGAACGTTTGCTACTAGCCAGACACGGTGCTTAACACTCTCTAGTCATTTTCTCATTTAAACTCTTAATAATCTTTGAGGCAGGTACTATTATTCCCATCTCATAGATGCAGAAACTGAGTTTTAGAGAGAATGGGCAACCTGTCCAAGTCCACACTTGGAGAGAGCTGACTCACCGCAGCCCCTAACATTTTACAACTAGACACTTGGAAATGTAGAGAGAATGTCCCAGTCTGCCGTAAAACTGAAATAATCAGGGCTTCAGAGGCTCTCCTATCTCCTAGTGTTGGATAACTACTGCATCTCTGCTCCAATGAGTGGCTCCCACCTCTCTTTTTTTTAAAAAAATGGTATCTGTGGCCACAAAGGTCAAAAGCCAAAGGACAGCTTTTCTTCTCTGATGCCCAGGAGCCTTGGCAGAGAAAGTTACTTCAAGGCCAAAGAATCAGAGACTAGGGAAAGCTGAGTAGTAAAGGGCTTTCTTGAAGGGTGGGAAGAGTCCTAAGTTACAGAAGACTTGGGCTCCAGGCCCTGCTCCATTTTTAACTGGCTATGTGATCTTTGGCAAGTCCTATCTCTTCTCTGGGCCTCAGTTTTCTTCCTGTACAAATGGGGGGATTCTTCCAGATGATCTAATACCCTCTTTCCTTCCCCAAGCCTCCCCTTATCCCTCCCTCCACCACTCCCACCCAAACTGGCTCTGACATTTCAGAAGCAGCCTTGAACTGAGGTCGCAACCCATCTCGGAGTTTCCTCCTGAGCTTTGGGCCCTGAGCGCTCGTTCCTGGTAGAGTGTCTGGCCTCAGCAGGTTGAAACCATCAGAGGGGAGAAAGGCCTGTGCCTCTGAGACAAGCCTCAGGGGGGCCTGCATTGTGATGACCTCATCCACTCTATGACATCATCCTCTCTCCCATCCCCACTCCTCCCTGATCAACTGCTCTGCAACCAACCATCAATCTGAATCCCAAAGGCCTGAGAAAGTCTGTTCTCCAGTACCTGCTGCTGATCTTCTGCCTCAGCCCCAGCAAGAAGCACCATGAAATTAGAATTCACTGAGAAAAACTACAACAGCTTCGTGCTGCAGAACCTGAACAAACAGAGGAAACGCAAAGAGTACTGGGACATGGCCCTGACTGTGGACCACCATGTCTTCTTTGCACATCGCAACGTGCTGGCAGCTGTCTCTCCACTGGTGAAGAGCCTTATCTCCAGCAACGACATGAAGAACACCGATGAGCTTTTCATCACCATTGACCCCAACTACCTGAGTCCAGCCACGGTGGACCAGCTCCTGGACTACTTCTACAGTGGCAAGGTGGTGATCTCAGAGCAGAATGTGGAGGAACTCCTTCGTGGGGCCCAGTATTTCAACACACCACGCCTTAGAATCCACTGCAATGACTTCTTGATTAAGTCCATCCGCCGTGCTAACTGCTTACGCTACCTCTTCTTGGCCGAGTTGTTTGAACTCAAAGAGGTGTCGGACTTGGCCTACTCCGGCATTCGGGACAACTTCCACTACTGGGCCAGTCCTGAAGGTTCCATGCACTTCATGCGCTGTCCACCTATCATCTTTGGCCGCCTGCTCCGAGATGAAAACTTGCATGTGCTCAATGAGGACCAGGCTCTCAGCGCACTCATCAACTGGGTGTACTTCCGGAAGGATGAGCGGGAAAAGTATGTGAAGAAGTTCTTCAGTTACATCAATCTTAATGCTGTCTCCAACAAGACGCTGATGTTTGCCAGCAACAAGTTGATGGGCATAGAGAACAGCTCTGCGCATGCAGCCCTGATTGAGAGTGTCCTTGTGGACCGCAAGCAGGAGAAGCCATCCAGCCTGCTGAGCTACCAGCGGAAAGGGGCCCTGCTTGATTCAGTGGTCATCCTAGGTGGCCAGAAGGCCCATGGCAAGTTCAACGATGGAGTGTTTGCTTATATTATACAGGAGAACCTGTGGTTGAAGCTCTCAGAGATGCCCTATCGGGCTGCAGCACTTAGTGCCACCTCTGCTGGTCGCTACATCTACATCTCTGGGGGCACCACTGAGCAGATTTCAGGGCTGAAGACAGCTTGGCGATATGACATGGATGACAACTCCTGGACCAAGTTGCCTGACCTGCCAATTGGGCTTGTCTTCCACACCATGGTGACCTGCGGAGGGACAGTGTACTCAGTGGGTGGGAGCATTGCCCCAAGGCGGTATGTCTCTAACATCTATCGCTATGATGAGCGCAAGGAGGCCTGGTGCCTGGCAGGGAAGATGAGCATCCCTATGGATGGCACAGCTGTGATCACAAAGGGTGACCGGAACCTGTACATTGTTACGGGACGGTGCTTGGTGAAGGGCTTCATTTCCCGGGTTGGGGTGGTAGACTGCTTTGACACCAACACTGGGGACGTGGTCCAGTGTATCACTTTCCCCATTGAGTTCAACCACAGGCCCCTGCTCTCTTTCCAGCAGGACAACATCCTTTGTGTGCACAGCCACCGGCAGAGTGTGGAAATCAACCTGCAGAAGATAAAGGCCAGCAAGACGACCACTTCAGTGCCTCTCTTGCCCAACAACTGCCCCTTGGATGTGTCCCATGCCATATGCTCCATTGGAGACAACAAAGTGTTTGTATGTGGGGGTGTCACCACAGCTACCGATGTCCAGACAAAGGACTACACTATCAATCCAAATGCCTACTTGCTGGACCAAAAGACAGGAGAGTGGAAGACCGTGGCCCCCCCACCAGAGGCACTGGACTGTCCTGCCTGCTGTCTAGCCAAGCTACCTTGCAAGATTCTTCAAAGGATTTAAACAACTTTTTAAGTGGGAGAATAAGTAAATGCATTATTATTCACAATTTAATGAGAGAGAGAAAGAAAGGAAGATGGCCTGTTGATTCCTTTTTAGTGTTCCAATCTGTGTTTGGCCCTGAAGATGGAAATCCTGGGCTAGGGCTGCTCCCATTGGGTAGAAATTCAGGGCGGCTCTGGGGGTAAGACGGAGGCATATCCCGGGCACTGGCTCCCAGTGGGTGGTAGTTCAGGGCCATTCTGTCACTGGATAAATCCAACCTGAGTCTGGAAAGAAGACTCTGGTGGATGGGATTGAGGCCTTTCTTGGGCACTGGCCAAGGTGATGTCTGGAAAGTCCCCTATTCTATACCCATGTAGTCACCTTGCAGGCATCTGCTAGACTGACAGGTAAAGCATTTGCTTAGTTATGAAGTCTCAGGCTCCTCCAACACTCACTTCCTTCAAGTCTGCCCAGAAAGGCAGGGGAGGGCCAATCCCAGGTTAGGGAGTAGAGTCTCCTGGGCTGGGGAAGAAGAATTTGGTGTGGGTCTGGCTCAGGGATCTAGGCATAGTGAATGGGGTGGGGGCAGAGGGTCGTAGGAGAGGGAGAGGCAAGGTTATCTGGTTGTTGTATTTGACCTTGCAGTTACAGGTGTGTCTGTGTGTCCTTTATGAAGAAGTTGGGGGGTTACTTACAATTATTTCCAGTAAGCAAGTTTCACTGAGAACTTTCTCTAGGAATACGAGGTCCAAGGGACTCTCTGGAAGAGAGATCAGTAAAAGGAGAAGAAAAAAATCTCTGTCTATTGGAGAGCAGCTTGGGGATGGGGCGAGATGACAGGACAAGAGACAGGATGGTGTAATAGAGTATGGACACTGGGGAAAGAAGGTCTGGTTCAAATACCAGTTCCATCATTTACTGGATAATCCTAGGCAAGTTACTTAACATCTCTATGCCTTAGTTTCTTTAACTGTAGAAGGGAAATAATAAGAGCGTCTGCCTCATAGGGCAATGTGAAGTTTAAATGAGTTCCTATATGCAAAATGCCTACGACAGTCCCTGGCATATATTAAGAAGTGCTACAGGAGGACTTTTTTAAAGGAAAATAAAGGAGTGAGGCAAGGGTCCAGGTTCTTCAGCCCTTATATTAAGTTTGGTCCCATAAAATGCTCTTTGAGACTTCCTACCTCAAAGCCTTAGTGAGCTTTCCTCATTTCTAACTACCTCTATTTCTCTTTCATTCATCTGTGAACTCACATATAATCCTCAACAATTTAGAAAAAACTGACCAAGTCCTTGAACACCACATATATTCCTTGTTCACCCATTCACCCGTTCATTCATGAATTTAACTCATCTACTCATCAATTCACACACACACACCATTTAATGAGGCCTCTCTGTATAGGTCCCTGTTCCAGGTGCTGGGGCCACAGCCATGTCACAGACAATCCATGTCACTGGGAGGGAGTATCTATACCAGTATCTGGTGACAGGAATATTATGCAAGCCATGTGTGAATTTAAACTTTTCTAGTAGCAACATTAAAAAGGTAAAAACAGGTGAATTTTAATATATTTTATTTAACCCAATATACTCAAAATATCACTTAAACAAGTAATCAATGCGAATATTTGTTAAATAGCTATTTAACATTTTTTTTCATGTTGTCTTCAGAGTCCAGTATATATTTTACACCCACAGCATGGCTCAGTTTGGTCTAAGCACATACATAAGGCCAAATGAGGCTAGTCCTGTATTATACACACAGGACACTTTAGATTCCCTTGTGGTTCGAATCTGCTCTCCTCCCTGCTTTCCCCACTCGGTCCTGCTCAACCTGCTCAGCACCATCTTCCTGATCTCCCTGTTTGGTGGCCTCTCTCTTCAAAGTGATGCAAGACAGGGCAAATTCCCTGGAGTGAGAATCCGAATCCTGCACAGAGAGAGTCAGTGAGGGTCCTGATACCGCACAGGAAAGAATTCAAGCTCAGGCCAGAGTCAGAGTCGAAAGGAGAGATTTTTAGAGAAAGAATAACACTCTTTAGAGTGTGGTCTCCCAGAGACAGAGAATGAGAGAGATTGAGAGACCCCAAATATTCGAGGAATTCAGTTTAAATCTGTTTTCCTCTCCGGAGATGGCTATGCAGTGATAAAGGGATGGGGACGTGGTTGTTGGTAACCTCCGCAGGAATTTTCCCATAGGTTCCTCATTGATTGGCCATATGCTGATCAGCCAGGTTCCCATGTCAGGTAGCACATAGCAGGCTCTGAATACAACTTGACTTAATATGTAATTCTCATGCCTCCTCCCTATATGAAAAGCTCACCTTTCTGCCCAGGTCTTTCCTCCTTCCATGCTGGAACCTTGGACTTCATGGCTAAACCTCTCTCCCCTGGAACTTCTTCCACATTTCTAACTTCTCCAACTCTGGGCAGCCCCCAACTCATAGCATCTCCCAGATGGAAGAATGAAGTCTTACAGATTCATGCAACTAAGCCCAGCTGCCCCACCCCCCGCCACCAAGCTTTGCTGACCACTGAGTCACCTCTTACTGCCTCCGGCTGCCATTCCCTACAGCTGATTTTCCAACCCTCACTGGTATCCTAGGGCCCCTCCCTTCTCCTATCTTCCTTCTCAGCCACTTCTCATTCTGCCACCAGGACTTCAGAGAAATGGAGGTCACATGACCTGAGCTCCATAAATAATCCCATGTCCACCAAAAATCTCTGCAGAGCTGCCCCTTCTTTTCTACACAGTAAGGAAGAGGCTCCCCAGGTGTCCTTCCACAATTCAAAGCTGATCCCTCCCCTATCTCTTCATTCCGTCAACTTCTCAGGCTTCTCAGTTCCCTCTCTCACATCTCCTTCCTGATTTCTTCTCTTTACCTCATAAATATTCTCAACTTTCTCCCATCCTGAAAACAAACCCTCCTCAGCTCTGAGGTCTTCCTCTTACTATCTGCCCATCTATCTCCTTGGTTGAGCTTCCTACATTTTTGCTATATTCTGTGGCTTGGCTCCAGATCAACCTCTAACCTGCTCAGGCTGGCTTCTGTTCCCACTGTGCCACCAGACTCTCCTGATGACACTGTCCTCTTTGTCCTTTTCTCAGCATTATACCTTTTCCTTGCAGTAGACAGTATTGACTGTGCCCACCTGCAGCAGAATCACTGCTAAAATGAGAAATCTTTAGCAAAGTACAATTATAATTTGATATATTAGCTGAATGTGGCCCTTCCTTCCTCCTTTCTCACATTAAAATTAGACTGTGAGGCTGAGCATCCATGTGGGGCTTATCACTTTGAGGAGGCTGGCCCAGCTGAATGTAGGAATCAGACTCAAATTCTTGGCTTTTGCTGCTAGGGAAGCTTTAGCAGAGATTGCAGCCTTGAAAAACAAGGCTTTTGAATCACAACTCAGGTCTTCAAACTAGGGTACATGAAGTCTTCCCAAGGGAAATTCAGGCATGCATAGTTTTAAGGGAATCAGTTTCCAGATCCTCAACATTTTCCTAAAATTGATCAACCTGAGAATACGCCTCAGTGGAGATTTCATTCTAGTTCTTTTTTCCCATCTTTTCTTTCAAAATTATCTTTCAAACTCTCTCTTTCTCTCTCTCCCCCTCCCTCTCTCTCTCTCTCCCTCTCTCACACACACACAAAGCAAACTTTACCCATCCCAATACTTCCTAGAATGCACTGTCCCAGGATGTCACATGAGGATATAAATTGGTGTTAGTGAAGCATCAGTGAAGCCTCCTTTCATCAGGACACCAATATCCAAAGAAGAGTTTGTTGTATTTTTCTGTCTCATCTATACAGTGTTTCCGTTAAGGTGTAAAGTGTGGTGTTTAAAACTGGGGTACTTTGGCCCAAGTTGGGTTGTTTAGAAATGCTAAATAGCATGATGGAATGATGACTTTTTAAATATTTTTAAAGATCTCTTGAGATATAATTCGTACACCATATAATTCACCCATTTAAAGTATACAATTTAATGGCTTTTAGTATATTCACAGAGTTTTGCCATCATTACCACAATCGATTTTAGAACATTTTAATTACTCCAAAAAGAAACCTTTGTACCTCTTAGCTGTCACCCTCTAACCTACTGATCTTTCCTGTTCTAGGCAACCACTCAATTATTTTCTGTTTCTATGGATTAGCCTATTCTAGATATTTTATATAAATAGAATCAAATAATATACGACCTTTTATCTGGCTTCTTTTACTTAACACAATGTTTTCAACGTTCATGTTGTAGCGTGTGCCACTACTTTATTCTTTTTTATGGCTGAATATTATTCCATTTCGTGGATAATACCAGATTTTATTTATCCATTTATAAGTTAGTTTGTGGGCATTTGGGTTGTTTTATGTCTTGGCTATTACGAATAATGTTCTATGAACATTTGTGTATGAGTTTTTGTGTTCACATATGTTTTCATTTCTCAGGTATATATCTAATAGAAAAATAGTTGGATCAAATGGTAACTCCATGTTTAACTATTAGAGGAACTGCCAGACTGTTTTCGAAAACACCTGAATGATTTTACATTTGCACTTGCATGTGTTGACAGAGTTCCAATTTGTAAGCATTCTCACCATTATTATCTCCCTTTCCAAATATAGTCATCCTAGTGGGAGCAAGTGGCATCTCACTGTGGTTTTGATTTGCATTTCCCTGAGGGCTAATGTGTTGAGCATCTTTTCATGGGCTTATTTTTTATGACAGTTGTTTAATAACCTTGTCTCTTCCATGCTCAACTGTTATCCGAGAAAGCATTACTCCAGAGGAAGAGTTCTGTGAGGATAAAACAAAGACAGCATGGCTCGGAAACACTGATGGTCATAGTACCTTATTTCATTCAGGCCATGGAATCATAACTAAAATCTCTCTGTCTTCCTACCTATTCGTCCGTCTTAGAGTTAGAATATTCAAGATTTGTTGAAACGTATGTTAGAAAATATCTGCTACCAAGCATGTCCTCTCTGCATTTTCACCATTCTCAAAAATGAGAGCTCCCATTCTCCTGTCTAGTTGCAGATTTTGTACCATTTAAAGGAAAACATAAAAAGTT